ATATATATATATATATACAAACATAAATAGATATAGTCTGTAGTTGACATATATATATATATACTGTAGTTGCCAGAAAACTTTTAAAAACAGACCTTGCTTCATTACTTATTACTCAGATTATAAGTTAGGGGTCAGTCTAAGGCTACGGTCAGACTGCAGGCAAAAAAAGTGGTCCAGATCAGAATTTATTATGACAGTCAGACAAAACTAGTCTTTTTTTTCATATGACAAATATTATCACATGAAAAATCTTTATGGCCAATTCATCTCAGCGGAGGGAAACAAGACAGAAAGCAGCTCTAGTGGACTCCGTTAACGACCGGATGATGATCCTAAAATAAAATGTGGAACAAACCAAACTGCAACTTCAGTGCAGAGTGGCCTCAGTGTTATCATCTGCTGCACATCACCTGCAGCTGGTCCATTCCTCAGCCCGGGGTGGGGGGGTCATGTGAGACAAACTGAGAGGCATCACTTCCTCCTCACCTGCAGTCTGGAGGGACAGAAGCTGAAACGCATTCACAGATTGGTTTGTTTACAACCTACTGCTTGTAGTTTGTTAAAAACAGGATCCACTGTGCTGCCTTCAGGTGCACCTGTGCGACGTTCAGGGGGCAGAGAGGTCAGAGCCTCTTCAACGAGTACAACTTTAAATTGTAATGGAGTCTGATGGCACACAATTAGGACGTCATAAAACTCAGTTTAATGTTTTGTCAAATTTTAAAAAACGATTCAGTACATAGTTCCACTTTCAATTTAACAACAAGATTAGAATGGCGTTAGCGCCAAAGAAACATTTTTCTGCTCGGTACAAACTAAGCTAGCTGTTTATCGATTTATTTAGGAAGTATTAATTTCTAGCTAAACAAACTCCCGTGCCCCTTTCGTTCTGTGAATTCCAGACAAACTACGGCCTAATTTGTGAGTAAGAAGCTCAGTTCCTCCATCTTCGCCCGATAAATCAAGGTAAACACCAGTAAATAGACGGACCCGGCTAGCCCCGGTTAGCTCGCCTGCTCTCACCTGTCCTCGCTGACCGTGATCACTCCATCTTCTTTTGGAATCAACACAGCCGCGTTGACGGAATCCGAGTGTCCCTCGATCTTGTTCAGGAGAACAGGTCTAGCGGTCTGGGGCCTCGAATGAATCTCTGCAGCCATGATTTCACCCAGCCAGCAGTGTTTTCCTTCAGAGGATTCTCCTCCTTCAGGAACACGATCAGCTGACTCCAGAGCTGCTGTCAGGATCACCGTAATGACGGAAGACCGGCCGCAGCGGAAAATCAGTGTAATGTATGGCAGGCCGTTTTAACATAAAATCAGATTCACCACACTTACAATCCAGATATCTGAAGTTGATTTATTATGACTAGACGTGTTATTTAACATATCTTTAACTATATTTTGATTAGTCCAAATACTTATTTGAGATATATCTAATTATATTCTGACTAATATGATTTACCATTAAGGTGTATGGAGGCTTCAGTTCAAGATATCTTAAAATTAATTTTGGCTAATCAAAAACACAGTTCTAGATATCTCTAAGTGAATTTTGACTAGTCGTTATTTGCTTTCAAGATATCTCGCTTTTAGTTCTGACTAGTCATAATTACAATTAAAGATATCTTAAATTAAATCATTATTCAAGAAATCTTGAATGTATTTTTAGAAGAATTTGACTAGCACAAATGAAATTGCAGATATCTTGATAGTAAATAATGACTAGGCAAAACTATCTTAGTTGATGCCTGTCTTATAATTTATAATTTATAACTTTTAACGTTATAAAGCATCTGCTGGTGTTGGTCCACTGTGTTTTCTGAGGTCGAAGGTCAACGCAGCTGTCTGCCAGGAAGTTTTAGAGAACTTCATGCTTCCTGCTGCTGACCAACTTTATGGAGAAGCAGATCACATTTTCCAACAGGACTTGGCACCTGCACACAGTGCCAAAGTTACCAGTATCTGGTTTAAGGACCGTGGTAATTGGCCAGTAAACTCACCTGACCTTAACCCAAAGAAAACCTATGGGTTATTGTGAAGAGGAAGATGTGATACACCACACCCAACAATTCAGAAGAGCTGAAGGCCACCATCACGTGGGCTCTCATAACACCTGAGCAGTGCCACAGACTGATCGACCCATGCCACGCTGCATTGATGCAGTAATCCAGTCAAAATGAGCAACAACTAAATATTGATGCTGCACATTCTCATACTTTCATGTTCATACTTTTCATGTTCATACTTTTCATGTTCATACTTCGTACTCTACCCGTTTAATGATGGGTGATTTCTTTTCACAAAGATGGCCTCCTTTACTCCTCTCTCAAACCATCATTCCTCTCTGTCCAGGATGTGAAAATCTTCATTAGTGATGAGCAAATGAAGCTTTTATGAAACACTGAACCAGTTGGGCCAATTGTTTCAAAAATGGGTTAATTTGTTGAAGCTTCAGTTACACTGACCTCTTGTGGCAATTTGCAATGCTGCTGTCAAATTAGGCTTTTTGGTGGCACACACCAAGAACTTCAGTGACTAGTGTTAAAGAAACTACTTTACTGTGGTAAAAACAGGTTGTTTAAATTCACCAACTTTCTATGTTGTCTGGTTTGAAAATGTCTTCATGCTTACATGTTTTTGAATAAAGATTGATAAATGTGCAAGTTTATTAAAGAGATTTAATAAAAACGTTGCAATGGTATTGTGCTTGTGTAACTGTGACAGAGTCCGAGTCTTTATCATTCTTAAAAATATCAATGAAATGACGTCTCCATCATCTCCATGTTTGGCGCTGAAGTGTCTAATCATAGAGGAGGTATCATGATGCTTCAGTTCAGTTGAACACAACATTGCACCTGCAGAAATACACAGTAAATTTTAAAAATAATAATTTGAACCCATACTGATATGATTATTAAAATCACATAAATCATTTTACTGTAATTATATTAAATACATGGGTTAAATGGGTTAGATATATATTTTTTTTCTGTTCATCTACACTTTTTAATTCAACCTTTATTTAGACAGGTAAATCCCATTGAGCCTCGAGGACTCATTTACAAGAGACCTGATTTCAACAAAGAATGATGACAACAATGGACAACAATGACAACAATAGACAAATACTAAAAGGCATACAGATTTTTTTAATAAAAAAAAAATAGGATGGCTAAAAAAAGAAAAGTAACAAAAAACAGCTAGAATATCTTCACTGCTGAACATTACTATAACTTTTTTGACATTTAAATACCAAAACCACCTTATGATGAGCAGAATGAAGTGTTCCCACATGTTAGAACGATCTCTTTTCCTGGCTGCCTCTACAGTATACAGTAATTACTCAGTTTCAACTAAGCAAAAACACACCTACTCTCCAGCACATTGAAACAGCTCTAAAATGTTTCATAGTGTTGAGCACTCATTTCAAAACTGTCTCAACCTGTCACCTGTCACAATCGAGACGAGGCGGTGCCCAGGGAATCAGCTGTTTGGACCATGAACCAGTCAAGAGATTCATTCCGACAACGAAACAGTTTGTGTTTCGGACCGAAACAAGCTCCGAAGCAGTGGTTCAATGTAATTTTACTGCAGGGTTCGAAGCATGTTTTGAAGCTTTTGTTTCATACTACCATCACTAATCTTAATCCCTGAAAGAGTGACCGCTGGCCTGGAGAGGAGTTTAGACCGCAGAGTCCTGGCCTGATGATGATGATCTTCTGTGCTGGGCCATCCTTTTGGCCATGATTTAAAATATATATTTTATTAATTCATTACACACAGACTGATAAGATTCACTTTTTGAATGGAATTACTGAAATAAATAAACTTTTACATGATATTGTAATTTTATGACCAGAACCTGTTTGTCTGATGACAGAGGATAAATGTAACAGCCACTCTCAGGATTACCATAATGATTGAAGAAAAACCTCCTGTAAATCCTGACAAACAAAGATTGTTTGGATTATTTGATCCTCTGGAAAATAAATCCAAACACTGAATCTGAAAACATATTGTGCAGGAGAGCTCTGTTGGAAAACACCTCAAAGGTTTTGTTCTTTCCAGTAACAAGACATGCTTGTTAAAAAACGTGATTGAACAGAACAATCCTCATCACGTGGCCAAATAAACCGTTTTCGTTTCTTTTAAACAAAACATCTTCAGTCTGCTTATTTAAAGTACAACATGCTCCATTTTTGTCTTCTTCCAAAGTCCATACCGTTAATGTTGTTGCAACCTTTACTTCACATTGGGATGTTCTGTAAAAATGTTAATTATTAAAAATGCATTTATTTGTAAATCTCAACCTCATTTTGATTCACAGCTGAACACTAAACATGTTCAATGTTAAAAACAATCATTTTTGGAGTTAAAAATTGTCATTTTGAATTGATTTCTAAAACGTTAACTTTAAATTTCCTGCTGCAAAGTGTTTTTTTTTTAAACCGTTCGGTTAATTAAACCAGCTGCTGGAGTTTTTGGAGAACGTGGTCTAGGATTGTGGCGGCCCCACAGTCCTGGGTCTTCTGCTGGAGTTTTCATGTCATGATGCACACGTGTTCACATGGACCAGTTCAGCACCTGGACTCTACCATGCTGTTGTAATGATACAGTTGAAATATGCAAAGCACCAACCACTGCACCACTGTGACACTCCACTTCATTACAAAATAAAAGAAATTTAAAACAAGCAATTCAAACATGTAAAACTCAGGCTACTACAAAATAAAGCATAGAAGTAGGCTGTAAAAAAATTAAAATAAATCAAGTGAAAGGCTTTGCATCATCTTTACATGCATGCACCTTCAACTTGAGCTTCAATTGATGTCTTACATAAATATTCCACGTACTTTAAAATATATATTTTAATAAACTTTGTCAGTTTGTGTGTCAGACTTTCACAAACCAAACTCTGGTGAGCCCATTTCTCTAACCAGTTTGATCAAATCTGTGACTGGTTCAAGCTGCAGCTGGAAAAACTACAAAGCAGAAGTCAAATGAACGTTTACACAAAAATGTTTTAATAAAGAGTGTCACGTCTCTGATGTTATAAATATGTCAATTTATTTTTGTTTCAAATGTGAAGCAACAGAAGATTTCCTCAGCAAAACAAGAACAGCAGCCGAGGGTCAAATCTTTAACTTATCTGGAGTTACACGACGGTAAACTAACATTTAGACTCGAGCTTTGACCCCATAAATAAAACATTTTACTCCACTTAGAAAATCACACATTTCACTTTTAGTCATTAAACATGTAATAAAGTTTAAAATAATAATAATAAAAAAAAGTATAAAAACTTAAAACAGCAGGAAAACAATCTGTAAAAATATTGTGAAAATCATGTTAAAGGCTGCAGAAAATGATTAACACAAAACCAGAAGGGGAGACATTCACATCGGAAAAACATCTGCAGCCTGGGGGGGGGGGGGGGGGGCACTCAGGGCTGGTTGATCTGACCCATGAACAGGATGGTACCTGCAGACACACAGGGAGATTACTCTTCAGATTTCCTAATTAGAAAAACTGTTCCATGTACAAACAGATGTTTCCTCAGGAACAGTCTAAACAACAACAACAACAACAACATGTTGCCCCTTGCTGCAGCTCAGGGTCTGAAATGTTGCTGATGCTGACGTGTACCTGTTGGGTGATGCCTGATGAGGAAGAGGAAAGGCCGGTCCACTATAACCCAGGGGGGGGGAGGAGCGAGCCAACACAATGGCAGCTGGAGAAATGTCATAAAAAGAGTTAAAACATCAACATCTACAGGTGAAGAAGACGCCAGCTGCTCCGTCTGAGCTGCAGGATGAAGATTATTACAAACACGTCACTCTACGTAAAACTTTAAAGCCTGAACATGGAACCTGCTGAAAACATCACTAAATGTTTTGTTTTAATGTCTGCACACATCAGTTGTTGGGTACAGAAATGATTTGTGGGTAATATTAATTCATAACTTGAGCAAAATAAAGCACTTCTTAAATAAGTTTCTGCAGCAATGAGCCAATTTAATTTAATGCAGTTTAATGTCAGGTACAAGTTTAATCTGGTATTGATTCCATCCACAGTGAACATAAAGTTCACAAGTTCAGGTGCTATTGTAACAACCTTTATGATGCTGTCCAGATGTTACACAACTTCTGTTGGTTTTACACAAGACGAGGTCATGTGACTCAGTCTGCAAGCTTTTCTTCTCCTTTCAAACAAACGAGCATCTCAGGACTAAAGTGTGGAGCATCACATGTATGTGTGTATATATATTTTTACTGTCACTCCATATACTTTATACTCTCATTTGCCTACATTATTGTACCCACCATGTATATTTTATTAAGTACAACAAAATGAAGGAGTGAAAACTAAAACGGAGTGCAGAGCCTTTAACCAGAAGGATAAACGTGCGCTCCAAAGCACGTTCTTCTGACGAGTGAGCACAGACTGTAAACAAATGAAAAACATTTAATACCATTGTCATTTAATGTTTTAGATTATTTAGGGCCTAATATGTTGCTACTTTAAATTTAATTACTTTATGTTATTTAATACAACAGAAACCCAGATTACAATCCATGCTCATGTGAAGCCATGTAAAAGTTTAAATAAGTTTAATTTAAGTGTTGGGAAGTGACATATTTTTCCCCAGCTAAAACCAGCAACATTTTGTTTCCCACTCCAGACTCAAGTGTGCATTCCTGCATATCCTGCTGGTATTTCTTTCTGCACCACCAGACTGAAACTTGTTGCACGTTATGACGTGTGTGAAATGCAGTAACAGTAGGCTCTCCCCGTTGGGGGCTGCAACAGAGTGAGTGAACACATGAAACCAGCTCCAGGCTCAGGAAACACTTACTGGTGGCAGCTGCTGCTTTAGTTCCTTCTTCACTCACGATAACTTTGGCTTTCTGGAGCGCCTTGGACACAAACACTGGGTCAGCACCTGAGAAAACAAGAGTCATTTCAGCTCCAACTAAGGGTCTGTCAGTTTTAACTTCCCGTCACAAGATGGCGCTGCAGCAAACATGAGGTCTGGTGACATTTGGTTCATGAAGCCACATGATGGCTCCTTTGAGTCCACCAGCCCAGCACTGGTTCAGGTTTTCACACTGAACACTGAAACCTTTCAGAGCAGTAAACAGCTACCGGTCCTGTCCTCCTGTAACACTGACTCATCTGCAGTAAACACATTCCTTCTGCTGCGGTTTTACTCACTGAGGTGACTGAAGTCTGCTGCATCCTCACTGAACATGTCTGTTACTCCCAGAGCAGACAGCGGCTCCTTCAGGTCCACCTCTGCATCTGCAGTAAACCTACAAAACACAGTTAATGTTGCTTCCACTCTAAGCTACAGTCGGATACGTGCACCCTTGTGTGCGTCTCACTTGGGAATAAGCAGGTGGACTTTCCTCATGTGCATCAGCTTGGTCCAGCTCTGCACCGTGGCTGTGCTGATGTGTGGGATGACCTGGGACAGAGGCGTGCTCTCATCAGAGGGCACCACGATGAGCATGCTGATGGTGTTCCCGTGATAGGGCAGCTCGATGACCCGGTATTTCAGCCCCTGAGGAGTGGTGGCCATGCCTGGGAAAGCAACAACACATCAGTTCCTTTGACAGAACGACTCGAAACTGATGAAAATAAAAGGCCTGGCCTTCCTGCAAGAGTTCTTGTTCAACCAGTGGTTACTTCCTGAGAGGTTACAGTAAATGTGTTGAGTGGTTCATGACTGATGAGATTTGGCAACAGGCACCCACCTTCACCTTTAGGTGGCAGGTGACTAACTCTGTGCTCATTTCCATTACTAAGCACACATTTAAAAACAAAGGCAGGTGACACTGTGAGCTGATGACAGAGCTGGGAAAGAAGTCAACCTCGTCATGATCTAGTTACAGACACCTGAGGAAGGTCTCATCCATACCACACCTGGAAAAACAACAGGAAAACCCAGAAAAGATCAGAACAAACTAAACAAGTACTGCATGTATGAACTACAAAGCTTACTCTGAAACTCTGACACACTAAATGGGGGGAGGGGTGGGAATAAAAAAAATACAGAACAGTGAACCTTCCCACTAAAGACAACTTCCCAAAATCTTCCGACTCCTCATGACTCATCGAGTACAAAAAAAGAAACCAGTCCCACTTCAATATGGACCGTAATTATGACTCCAGCTTGTAACCACATGATCTTCTGAAATGACAGAACAACAACAAGGTTCATCCAGGCTTCACTTCCTCCACCACCCCCCAAACATTTTGGAAAGTTTTCTTCATTTTGAACTGTTTGGAACTGGACCTGGATATGGAGACCTCCGTGTTCAACTGTCCCCTCTTATTGTTGTTAGTATCACTCAGCCCTCTGTGAACAGTAAGCGGCCATCAGGGAACTAACGGTCATTAGGCTGATGGTCCTCCTGTTGCATGTGAACAACTAGTTATGGCTGTCACCAGCAAACTGGTTGATCCACTAGTGGTGCTTTGCCACTGGTAAGTGTAGCTCCACTCAGCTCTCCTCGGTTCTTCTCAGGTGTAGGTGATTTGTCACTACAGTTGAGGCTGACCCGTTTCCCCGCTCTGAGCCCCATAACAGTACTTCAATTCTTAAGCTTATCCCCCCCACAGCACACAAGTCTGGGTGTAGCCACACTGCACCATCATCTCCAATATCTCTCAGACATTGGCCCCTCGGAGCAGCCCGCTTGGAGCCACGAACAAGATGGTCCCATAACCCGAGCTGAGTGGATACTGAGCGAGTGGAGCAAGGAGAGCCGAGACGTGGCAGAGCGCTACAAGTGAAGGTGTAGATGAAACTTTTCAACAAAGAAAAAAAGGTGTTAGTTCAGTCATCCAGGTAGAGAACAACAAAAAAAAAAGGTTAAATCATGTCATCTGGACCAGATGACATGATTTAACCTTTTTTGTTTTCAACAAAGAAGAATCCGTCCAGAGGACCTGGCTCAACCTTGGAAGAGTCTAGTAAAATCTGGATTAAACCAAACACGCACAGATTATAGTCGAGCATGAAGGTCACAGCTGGATGATGTGAGGACACTTTGTTTGATGCATTCAGTGCAAACTCCCCATGTCTGCTTTAAATGTTTTCATACTCAAAGTATTTGTTTTGGTTCAGCCGAGACACTTTAAGGAATTTTCCCAAAGTCTGGGACAGTTTTCTACACAAGTACATTTATTTATTTCTAAACCAAGTGCAGGCTGTATCCTAGAAGCTTTCATAGACAATGCTGACCACGACCACCAGTACATTTAACTAGAACTTTGTTTCAGAGGGGTTTTACTACAGAGCAGGATTTACCACTTAGCCAGCAGCGTTTCACCACCATCACCACGGCAACAGACATTAGGTCACATGACGAGGCTTTATTTTCTCCAAATTCAGGGCTGATGAAGCTGTCTGAAGCTCGAGACATGAGTGTGGAGGCTGTTTGGAATCCTTTATCCCAGTAACACCAACCAGTGAGACGCTCGTCAGGAAACAAGAATGACAAACATGATAAACAGCAGGATCACTGCAGACGCAGCTTCACACCACAACTATCGACAGTTCTACAATCTTACAACAAACTCTTTATACAGACTAAACATAAAAAAACTTGTCAATTATGGGTAAACAATGATCAATGAATCAATCATCCAAGTGCAGAGAAAGACTCGAGACCTCTGCAAGAAACTACAGAAAACGGATGTCCTGACTTTCACACGTCACAGAGGACCTGTCCCTGCTCGTCCTCACCACACCAACAGCTCATCTAAATAGACAACCCACAATGCATCACTTCACACCAGACTAAACTAAATAATATCCTCTGGATGTGACACGTCGCAACATGCCATTTCTGTACAAAAAGCTGCTCTGTGAATCATGACCTGGCACCGACTGATCCTACAAATGGATTTAAAACAAGAGCAGAATTAATTGGCTGCTACCATTCACAGAAATTAAAATTAATTTTGGTTTAATGGAAAACAAAAGTCCACAATAAGACCTCGTGTTCATTTTCTTCCAGCTGGCTCTTATGACAAACAATAGAGAAATGTCCTTTCCTGCCGAACGAAGTGCAAGTGTTTACTGCTGAAGGAGTTTTGCTGAAAGCTGCTGAAGAAGCTGAAAAGGTTTCATCTCTAAACTGTTAATGCAAACTAAATTTGAACAGCTGACTTTGCTAAAAAGCAGGAAAACAAAAGTGGAAAGTAGCAGGAAAAACTGCAGAAATAGCTGAATGGAGCAGAAATGTAGCCACAACAAGCAGAACAAGCTGAAACAGGCAAACTTTGTCAAAACCACAATCTGTGCCATTCTCAAAACTTTTGGCCACGACTGTAAGACAGCTACACCAGAGACAAAATGCTCTGTAATGACAGGTGGCTGTGACATGCACCGGTGACTTCACCGACTGCAAGTACCAGTACGCTTTTAAACACTCACCTATGTTAAAGATTGACAACTGGGACATCATTGGAACTTTATACACGTTTCCATCCCCCCCGTTGAAGGGCCTCATCTTGGTGTCATTGGGCTGGAAGCAGGACTTCCACAAGCCTTTGAAGTAGATGGAGTTCACAGCAACCAGGCGGGTCAGCGCAGAATCCAGCATGTCTGCTTTGACCAGGCTGGGAATGTGACCTGGAGGAATACAGAACAGAAACAATCATTTGTGTTCAGGAGAAAAGAGGAAGTTATACTGCATCATCTTCATCATCTGCTAGTTCACACTAACCAAAGAGACTGTTGCTGTTAAACATGTGTAATGTGATCATTAAAAAAAAAACAGGTAGTTAAAACGAGTTTCTCTTTGCATAAAGGCTAGTTTATATTCAGAAAACAGATGTACATTTAACTAGAACTTTGTTTCAGAGGGGTTTTACTACAGAGCAGGATTTACCACTTAGCCAGCAGCGTTTCACCACCATCACCACGGCAACAGAAACTTTTCAGTTCAACGCCAGTAAAAAGTAAAACTCAAGCAGTACGCTGATGTCCCCCCTCCATCGCTGAGGGAGTTCAATAGTGAATGTTTTGTAGTTTTGAAGATAAGTGTTTTTCTGGACTGGAACTGAACGGAGTAAATCTTAATGTTTTTGGTGCCAGATATTAACCCTCCGACACGCCATCGCCCACCTGAGTCGTTTGAGGAAACTTAAGAAATTTAAAAACTAGTACTGTACTTTTTGCTGTATAAGTCACACCTTTTTGCATAAATTAGCATGCCCTGCAACTTATACAGTGAAACAACTTATTTATTTATCCCATATTTATAATCCAATTTTTGGTTGAGCTCTGACCATTCATTCCGACATGGAAAATATTGAACACTAACATTTTCAGCCACTACAGGGCCCTCTACTCATATGGCAAGCCAAGTGTCTCATTAATAGGTAAAAGTGGCTATTAATGAGACACTTGGCTTGCCATACCAAGCCACCTTTGTTTTGGCTCTGGAACTACTGGAGCAAATGTCAAATGCAGCTGCATTTCGCCACGCTGGTGAAATGCAGCTGCATTTGACCATTAAAGTGCATTTATTAAGGAAAAGTTTAACTGAGACACACATTTACTATAATTTCGAGCGAACAAATAATTGTTTTTAAGTGTTAATCTAGTTAAATTCTTGTTAAAGTCCTCCCGTGCACGCTCCCGCCATTTGGCAGCATATCGATTTTTGGCACAACACCAGCTCACATTTCCGGGTCGTCAGCGGTGACACATAATAGATACGACATATATGGCAAAGCGACATATTTATGTTTTTTCCACTTTATTAGACATAATTGAACTGATGCGACTTATACGGCGGTGCAACTTGTACAGCAGCAAGTACGGTAACTGTTTTCCCAAAAGGCTATGGTGGCCAGTTTACACACAATATGGCCATCTAGGATTTTGACGTGGCAGCCCAATTGTCGATAGTGACCGTACGTATGCCTGGATGTAGCCACACATCAAAATGGAAGACGGTACTTGACTTATTTTTCTAGTTATCTAGCTCACAATTCCCTCTTTGCTCCACGACAGGAGACAAAAATGGTGAATGATAGGATAGACGGATAAAAATAATTCTCTGATTGCAACAACATTTATGTTATCGTAATTCTGCCCAGCGTTGCAAGAAAACAAATTAACCGATTAAAATCCTGCTTTGATTTTAATCCAGTTAGTTTCAGCCTTAACAGCAGCAGGAAGTTTATTCTGATTTCTAACCAACAGTTTCTGCACTGCAGCACTTGTTCTCCTGTTGGGATGATTTTTATCTTCTGCCTCCATGGACAGGACATACTGTCTTTTATGAAGGAAGTCTTACGGTACATTTTTAGATTTTGTTTAGGAATGCACCAAGACCACAACTTTCCATACCAGACAAAAATGCTTACATTTAACTACTTGACATTAGAGAGTATGGATATGAGTATTTATCAAATGTGTGCAGTCAAGTTAGGAGGAAAACGTAAATAAAATACAATGTTTATAGTCAATTGTATTATTCATTTTTCAAAGGTACCAATGCATTTCAGGTACATTTAAACATTTAATTATGCTGATCTGAAAAACTGAGACTTACAGTAATTCTTTTGTCCGCTGATACGACTTCTGCTGTTTATGGATCAAAACATCTTTACCTTTGGTCTTATTTTTGACCCATGCGTTGATCTGATCAGAGGCTGCACTGGGGTCGCTGAAGTCCAGGCTCCTGCTCTCACACTGAAAGTTGGCTTTGTTGGTCGCCATAAACGTCTCCTCCATGGGGAAACCTTTCTGGCTGAACATGGCGTTGGCGATCAGCACAGAGTCCAGGTTCGATTTGGACGTGATGGCCTTGTGCAGCTTCCTCAGCATCTTATAAGGCCCTGTGCACACCAAGAACATGGTAGTTCTCAGTTAACATTGGGTTTCTCAGGCCTACATAGAGGCAGCAACTTATGGTTATTTTATTCACCTTTTTTCTTGTAACGCAGAGAACTGATAATCTGCTTCCTGGTTTCTCCATGGGCTCCAGGTAGCAGCAACCCAAGGATGGAGGCAACTCCATGAGGCGAAAGAACAACGTTGTCCAAGGGCTTGGTGCGGACTACTTGCTCAAACACCTGCATGCCAAGATCAGAGCCCCGTTCACCGTAGGTCGGGGATACAGACGGGGCACCCTCATGGACACACAGGATCACCAGGACGTAAAATAGGAAGATGCTCTTCATTTTGATCCCCGTGGCACCCTGCAAGAGAAAAACAGCAAAATATCAGTCTGAAGGAGCCGTGGAGCATCTCACTGGTTCAATCAGCTCCCCTGAGCAGCACACCTGTAATAAAAACATCTGCAGGCATTCCTCAACTCTTCCAGGTGACTCAGACAAGTCATGATATTTAATGAGTAACGCACCTCCATTGTCTCCTGAGAACATCTTCTAAAGACCCCAGTATACTGCCGAGTACATCCATATGCAGAGCACGTACATACGTGCGTACCCCCCAGCGTACCCTCCGTGCAAAGCTCAAATTTTTACGACCGCATGCATACGCAGTGTTGCACAATAAACTGCCCAGCGACGGACTGTTTTGTATGCGACACCAATGTATTAAATTCTCCTTCTTCATCTCTGATCTGGCCTTTTCTTTTGTTTTTTTTGCCAAGAGGCAGTGATCTCTTCCTCCTCCGTTCATGCCATGACTGAAAATGTGAGAAATGAAGGAATTTGTCACGAGCGAATTAAACTCAGATCCAG